TATAAAATATATCACACAGCAAGGCAAGCTAAGACAGTGAGAATGTGTTTTTTGGAGAAAGAGAAACGTTTTAAAATTAAAAATTATATAATTAAAATGTTCAAAGCAGAAATGAGCAATAAAGTCCAGAGTATAAAATTATTCAAGTAGCAATTAGTGGCAGTGAGAAAAACGGGGGGTGCCCTTTTAATATATATAGATTTTTAAATGTTTGTTTTGCTTTATGTTTTCCCAAAATCCCTTAAGTATGTATATGTATATGTATCCTTTTCTTTTTGCTTTTTTTCCTCATGTGTTTCACTTAACCAATAAAAAAGAAGAGATGTTTAAAAAACGTGAAAACGTTCAATACATTTTCAGATTATATTCTTTTCATACTATATTAGAAATTACCTCATTCGCGTTTATGTTGTTGGAAATGCAGTGAAATTAATGCTTTATTTAAATATATTGTTCTATTTGTTTATTTGCTTTATACAGCCACTCATCTCACACATGTGACTCTGGGCAGCTACAATCAAAAACTTAAAATCAAATAAAAGACATAAAATGAAATAAACACCCGGAAATCATAAAATAACCATCAAAAAAGCCAAGAGAGAGGCTCTATCACACTTCCAGGGCTCCAGGCCCAGGCACAAATCAAGGGTCAGGGCGAACCTAATCTCAGCTGGAATGATGTTCCACAGGCCAGGTGCCACGGAAGAAAAGGTCTTGCCCACCAACACCCCACAGCCAATGGGACCCGGAGCATGTCTACGTCAAGCAGGACAGGAAGGAACAACTGGGGAGAGAAGGACCTGTACGTAGCTTGGTCCAAAGCTATGAACGGCTTTAAAGGTAACCACCAGCACCTTGAATTGCACTGGAAGCATACTGGTAGCCAATGCAGCTCGTGGACCAGAGGTGTCCCATGTGCCTTGACAGCGGCTCTAACTCGTGTTATATTGGGTTTGCTCCTTGTCTCCCTCCAGTGGGCCCTAGGCTCTCTTCTCCCACTTCATCTCCCTCAGCTCCTCCAGAAATGTGGGAGAGTTCTGGGATACCTGGGAGGGGAGAGGCTGCTCAGGCACAATCCGATCCAAAACCCCAACCGCTCTCTCATTCCGGGTGCCCA